CATTAGGCTGTCTGGGACGACTCCAGCCTGCGTGGACTGTCAGGCTGCTAACCGGCAATTTGGCAAATCCATCGTCTTGGCAGGGTAGGAAACGTGGTCCCAAATCCTATAGCGCTTCGGGACGGATGCCTTTGGAACCCTTAAAGCCCACCCGGGACAGGGTTCGGGCGCCCTCAAAGTCCTCCCCGGGGTCGCCGCCTGTCAAATCCCCGGGGGCGTAAACATGGCGGCTGTGAGTCAAACAGCATCTCCCTCCGGCTCATGGAGACTCAACAGAGTGGGAGGAAAAATAAGCAAACTCCCTGGAAACAAAACCCCGTGCTTGATCGCTGCTCTGCTCTGACACCGGGAATCCTGCCCTCGGCTGCGGCAGCGCCGCCACGCCGCGCGGGAAGGTGGGGTTCTGTCAGAGAGGGGCTTTTCTTCCAGAAGCTTGATGCTGAGAGACAGAGCTGGAGCCCTGTCCAAACGAGGGAGATTACTTCCGGAGCTCACTATAGAGCATTTTGCAAAGGCCAACAAGCCCTGGAATCGCGCGGGAGCGTGAGCCCGAGCACCCTTTCCGTGTTTTGCGAGGTCAGCTGACGGCTGAGCGGCAGGGACGGGCACGGGATCCCCGGGGAAACGTGTTTGCAGTTTCCTTTGCCAAAGACCACGTGCGCTTACTAATAAATCCCTAGGGAGAAAGAGGGTTAGTGCTTCTATTACCAAAAGAATAACTATCTGGCAGAGCAAAAATGGTAATTTCTCCATTAGCTACCAGGATAATAGCTATTATTTTAAAGTTAAAGTATTTATTAGCAAAGAGTGGTGTTGGGGTTTGTGTGTTTTCATTTTTATGATTGCTACTTATAATACAAAGAATATTGTTTTCAAGCTAAATAGTCAAAAGAATGAAACTCGATTGCAATTTTCCAATTTCAAAAGAACTGCAGAGATGCATTTGAAAAAAAATAAAATCACCCGATTTTTTTTTTTTTTTTGGTTTGTTTGTTTTTTATTAGATGACTTGGAAATCTCCAGAGACGATAGTTTTAACGGTGCAGCCTGACTTCCCATCAGCTCCTGTGTCTCTGCCACTCTGGAGTTTCCAGCTTCAGAATCCTGCTTTCTCAAGATGGAGCTGGGCAGCCTTTTTTCTCTGTTTTGTCACCAAGCCTGTGGATCAGGGGGGTGGTCAGTGTGGGGGCAGTGACGTCCACCTGGCTGGAGTGGTCTGAACTTGAGGGAAGGATCCTTCCGGGGACGCAGACTGCTGCCCTGAACTCTGTTGGGGAGGCCTCCCTGGAGAAGCCACCTCCACCCGAGTGTAGGGCACCCCGGGGAGAAGGGGCTGTTTGGTGCTTATCAATATGTTTTTTTTCCTGTTGCAGAATGAAAATAGAACGGAGATGCCAGGGAGATGGGGTCCTCACCGTAACCGATCGTCTCGAACTTACGTGTAAGATTTTGGTTAATTATAGCATTCTTGCTGCCTCAAACTTAAAGACACATCACTGATATTTTTGCTAGATGTTGACTGCGGCAAACAGCTAAGACGTGGCATATTGATTTCTTGTTGTGAAGTGAGCTGTTCAAGCTCCATTTAAGATTTTCATCTTGCATGTAGCCCTGAGCACATCATAGCACCATAAATTAGTTAGATTGCACATTTATCACAAATGTTATTTTAAGATACTACGTAAATGTGATGGCTGGAAGATAGACAGTAGGACCGCAACGAGCCCGGGCTTGGGCGGGGTGAGGTGAGGGTCACCTACACACCTGTGATTAAAACCTCCCTCACATGACAACGCTGCCCCTCCTCCCGGGACCCATTTAAAGACTTGGCTTGGACAATGGCTTCCTTCCCCCACTCACATTCCCTGCGAACATCAACCACAGAACTTGTGCACAACTACAGGAGACTCGGGCTGCACTTTTGAGCTCCCTTGTTTTATCTCAGGCAAATCAGGGCCATTCTGGTTTGGGGTGGAAGGCTCTTCCGGGTAGTGAAGGGTTTGGTGAGCTCAGGAGACAGTGGCCTTGAATTTCCAAGTAGCGGAAGACCCCAACCAGCCACACCCCCCACGCTACATGGTTTGGGGGATCGTCATTTTGCCAAATGAGGTTTGCATTTGTGCCCAGAGCCCTAACTAACCGCCCCGGTCCTGTGTTTCCCTACAGGTGAAATAAATTCCTGGACCCCATGAATATGAGCAGTCCTTTCCTGGCTACGAGCCAAGGTGTCAGTCAAAGGAGCCACAGAACCTGCTACCTACCTTGACTATAAATCGTCACCATCACCCCCACATCGAAAAGCCCAGCAGCTAACCTTCGAGTGAGGTGAGGAGAAGATGGGCAGCGTGTCGGGCCCTTCTCCCAAACCGTCAAGAGGGAGGTTCCACCCTCAACTCGTACGGATCCCGCCTCCCTTCAAGCCACATGGGCCCTGGTGGTGATGGAGGTGTTGTCAGTTTAATCTGTTAGATGCAGGACGTTGGATTCTAATAAACCGATGCTATATTTAACCTGTGAAAAATTCAAGAGTGGAAATCTGGGCTCCGGGATGTGAAGATGTGGAAGGCACGGAAGGGAGGGTGTCTCTGTCCCCTGGGCCAGGTTCTGCGGGGAGCCGTCCCCCACGGGATGTATGTGTCCGTCAGCTCCTCCCAGGAAAACACCAGCAGGACAACGAACTGCCCAGAGGGACCCGGGCCTGGGAGCTGGCGGGTAAGGGGCAGGCCCTGGCCCCGGGGGGCAGGTGCGGTCCCCGCCGCCTGCCGACACAGCCCACCGTGCGCCCGCGTCCCAAGGCGAGAGCGTGGCTACTCCAACACTCTAGTCGCCAAAAAACCCACGTGACACTCCGGTGAGTTCTCTCTAAAAACCCAGAGGGAGATGGAATGCCGAGAGAGAAGAGAGGAGACAGAAACATTGGCCTCATCTTAACAAAAGGGGGCGGGACCAGTGGAAAAACCGTAGGTGTGTTGCCGAACATCTCTGAAAGGGCTTAATTTAAATTTTTAATAAAAGAGTGTTTTTTTAAAAGTCAAGGTGTTTTATGTATTCCATGGATGTGATACGTCTCTCATTTGTATAATTCTAGGTTAGAAGCTACAATTCCGCGTAACGGCAAGAGGAGTTTGAATAGAGTAATAAAGGTATTTTACAATTTTACATGATGTTCCCAGCGTTTTGTTGGCATGATTTGCTGAGGCTAATAAAAGCGTGTGATTATCATATAAATGCTCCCCCTCCTCCCATGGATGGGCTCAGGCTCCTCCCCCCACAACCCTCCTGCCTCTTGTCCCTGCTTAAGCACAGAAGGGAGAGCCCCATGGTCCCCAAAGTCCTCCTGCCCAGCTCGGTTCTGTTTTCTGATATTTGAGAATCCTGGGTCAACAGGAAGGAATCGCCCTTCCAAAGACCCTTCCTCCCCATCAGCCTCCGGAACAGGCGGGGCCCCAAGTGCTCTGCACCCAGAAAGGAGATCAGACCCCCGCCCCCCACGAGGGCCGCCAGGTATGACCGGAAGCTCCGACACTCAATATATCACAATGTCACCTTTCTGCAGAGCTAACCTCACGTGAATGACTTCCCTTCTTTTGAATTTTTATTCTTGGTGAAAATTCTACTCAAGCCGCCCCCGAGTTAAGTGCTCCCTGCTCTCCAAACGCCAAAGTTCACTAAAACTCCCCTGATTTACGTGCAGCTTCCGACTGCCAGCACCTGGCAGACACAGCAACCGGCTCGGTCATAAACAGATCGCATACGATTTAATTTTAATGTGCTCGTTAGTCGTAGCACATTTCAGACATAATCGTGAACGCAACACAAAATTATAGCAAAAAGACGATTTTAATGCTGCCGTAGAAAAAAGGGTTATATGAAGAGTCACGAAATGGGGCTTCATTGTCAACAACAAAACAGGGCACAGAGTGTGTGACGGTGTCTCTGCTGTTTACATGCCAATATTTTATACATAGGTTCTCGTAGGGTGTCAGCTGTCAGTTACTTCTGCAAATTAACTGCCAAAAATGGAGGAGAACAGAATCACTCCGAGAGCCGGTAACCACGGGTTACCTTTCATAAGCCTAAAGATAAAGCTGCAGTGTAGGATCTTGGGAGAATAATTAGGAAGAACAAAACAGAAAGTTACCAATTGCAAGGAAAAGGCATCCTGCAATATGGAATAGCAACCGAGAGGGCTTATAAATAAGTGAGAGAGGTTGTATCACAGAATGCCTCGTGACTTTTAAGCAAAGTATTACAGTACAAACATTTTAAAGGCTTTAACAATGTTTAGGAAATACAGTACAAGTTCTTTTTTTTTTTTTTTTCTTTTCCTTTTCAAATAGACTTAACCCTTTGAGCACTGAGTTCATTTTGAGCGTTCTTTGATTTCTAATAAATACCTTTAAAAATCATGTGCAAAATAGTTATGCTGCTGCCCGCCAGGGGTGTTCTTCCCGGCCTCGTCGATTCAGACTGCTCAAAACAAATGATAAGAGGATGCTAATAAATATGTATAATTTAAACATGAACCTCTATCAATATAGATGTACTGTATAGCAAAACAAACAATCGTACTTTGCTTTCAGATAATGTTTCTGTATATTTTATAAATGCTATCTGTGGTATCTTCTGTATAATTTACAATGTTTGCATGTAAAAAACAAAACCCATAGACCTTAAAAAAAAAAAAAAAACCAAAAAAAATAAAAAAAAAAAAAAAAGTAAAAGAAATATACACTATACATAGGCACGGCTTCTGCCCAGAGCATAGCAGGTACATAAAACACTGTTGCTATAAATGCAAGAAAAAAGGTCATTTTAACCACAATCACATTTTTTTTCATAAGAGAGTCTGAAATCTATACAATATATACATCTATGTTTCAATGTGAAAATAATATTCTTTTAAATTTCAAGGCGTGTCATACCCCTGCAGACCTGCATAAATGGAGGTTCGTATTATTAATTATAACTAAGCTGGTAAGGACCTTAAAAAACAGAGCTTCATACATTATTATTATTATTTTTATTTTATTTTTTAACCAAAAGTGCTTCAAAGTACTCAGAGGGCTAAAGATGAAAGGGTGAGAAACGCCGGCACGCTGGAGTCTCGTGGAGAACGTGTGCCTGGTTTCGGTATAAATGCTTAATTAAACCGTCTGTTAACGCATGCAGCTTGAACGTCCGAGGACGCCACAACTAAATCCCATTTACACAAAGTTCCAAACACTTACCACTGCATTTTCAACCTTCATATTTTACCAGTAACAACAGCTGATTATGCACCTCTAGTAAACACTGTACAGTTATACAAAACAGCCCGGCCCAGAACGATGTTCCGCAGCTAACGTAAGAACATGTGCCAAGATCGAGTCAGAGGGGCTCTAAGGTGCCTGCCACACTTTCCCTCCAAGCAAACCGCAGTCGCTTCGGTCGAAAGCAAACGCTACTGCTTCTCTAACTCGGAGACGTACAGGAGGTGGTCTTCCGGAGACTTCCCGTGTGTTTTGCTAAGGTGGAGTTTCACCGCGTGCTTGCTGGCAAAGGTCCGATTGCAAAGTTTGCACTGATAGGAGGTCCCCAGGTCCTCCTCGGGGGAGGACGTCACCAACTTTTCTGACGGTGACTTGGTTTGTGCTATCTGATTGTTAATCTGTTCGGTGGACAGTTTGGATAAGTCCCGTAGCCGGAAGCCCAGGTGTGACTCCAGGTGGCTGATGTACGTGGAAGGAGTCCTGATCTGCGACGCGCAGTCATTACAAAAGAACACGGGGTGGCCGGTGTCCAAGTTTTTGAGGAACTTTGTTCCACCTGTCCTTCGCAGCTGGTACTTCACGTTGGCCAGCCAGTGGCTGATGGTGGTCATGGAGAGCCCCGTGAACCTGGAGATGTGCATCCGCTCCTGGGGGCTCAGGTCGGACATGATGTACTTCCCCTCCGAGGTCTGCCGCAGGCTGGCGGCGAACTGGGCCTGGAGGATCAGCAGGTGCTGGGGGTTCCAGTTTGACTGGCGGCCCTTCCTCTTCTGCGCGGGCGTCGCCTCCTCGGCCTCCTCCAGAGTGGCCCCGTCAATGTCAGACTTCTCGGAGATGCTGGAAGGAGTGGAGGATTTTGACGTGTGGCTCTCTGTCAAGTTCTTCAGCATATCGGATATATCTGACAAGGCATTCTCGCGTAGCGGCGAGTTTGACATGAATGACACGACCGCAGATGTCTTTGCCGTCGTCGCCGTGGATGAGGAGGTTGCCGGGGCCGTGGACGTGGGTGACAAAAGCACTGAACCCAAGGAGCAGCCTTTGTCACTCTTCCCTTTTGTCAGGTCTATGGGCTGGTCGTTGCTGACGTGGTAGAAATAGCGGTCGAGGTGGTCCGCCTTCTTGGACTGCAGGGGCGGCGGGGTGGCCACCGCCGCCTTCTCGGCGAGGTTGTTGCTCATCTTGAAAAGCATGCTCATGGGGTCCAGGGCCGGCAGCGAGGGCTTGGCCGCCTTGCCCAGGTGGATGTTCATGACCGACTGCAGGGCGCTCAAGGGGTTAACGAAAGGCTGCTCGGGTGGGTGGTCGGTGATGATGGCCGTGCTGCCGCTCAGGCCGCTGGTCAGGGGCTTCGCCAGATCCTTCCCGTTCTCCACCGGCTCTGCCAGGGGGCTCCCCTCCTTGTACCCGTCCTGCGGCGGGCCGGGGCTGCCCTCCTGGCTTTTGAAGCCCCCGTCGCTGGACGCTTCCATCTTGACGGGCTCGCTGACCTCGCTGCTGCACGGGGACGGGGTGGCCCGCTTGGGCGGAGAGAGCTTGCCGTCCGGCTCCTTCATCTTCTCCTCCACCTTGGCGACCTTCTCCGTGACCTTCTTCACCAGCTCCTCCATGGCATGGAAGTTCGTCTTGGGCATGGGGGAGGTCTGGCTGCTAGGAGGAGACACCAGGGTCTGGTTTTTTGTGGGAAACACCATCTCGCTGTTCCCAAACATGGGTTTCAGGGGCGTGCTCTTCCCCGACGAGCCCAGAGACAGCTTCATCATGTTGGGGAGCTGGTAGGCGGCGTGGATGCTGGGGTAGCCCCCCCAGCTGGGGGTGCCATTCTGGGCCTTGTTGATCGCGGACGTCACTGTGTTTTCCAGGGATTTCAGGATGTCCAGGCCGCCCTTGGGACTCTCCTCGAGGTCGTTTTCAGTCAAATAATGGTATTTGGAGGAGATGTCGTATTTCTCCTCTTCCTCACTGGCCTTCTCCTTCTCCTTGGGTTTCTCGTCGGTGACGGCCTTGTCCCTGTCGACTTCCTTCTTGACCTCCACGTTCAGTTTCGGGGAGACGCTCGCAGGCGTGCTGGAGGGGGACGCGAAGGTGGTGGCCGCCAGGGGCACGGACTGTACCTTCTCGTCCAGCAGGGTGGTGATGGTGGGCGTGACGGGCGTCTCCAGGATGGGCTTCCCCTTCTTCATGGCCGAGTTGGTGACCTTGATGAAGTGGCCGGTGACCATCATGTGCGCCGTGAGCTCCTGCAGCGTGTCGTGGGAGCTGCCGCACTCCATGCACTTCAGGATCTGGGACTTCCGGGCCTCGAAGTGCCAGGCGTAGCTGGCCCCGTTCTGGTGGCCGTACCGGTTGTTCGGCGTGATGTAAGGGTTGGAGTTCTTCTGGAGCGCGTCGTTGGCGTCCGCCACGGTGGCTTTGGGGGTGCCGCCTGTGGAATCCGGGGAGCTGGGGAGCTCCAGCTCCAGCGACGCCTTCTTCCGGGCGGCAGGGATGATTTTGGCGGCGACGGGCGTGACGGGTTCCTTCAGAGGCACTTTTTGGTAGTGTTTTGTTTTGATCATATGGACGCTCAAGTCCTGGAGGGACTCGAAGGAGTGGCCGCAGTACATGCACTTCAGGACTTTCTGGGCATCCTCCTTCCCCTCCATCTCCAGCAGGGAGCGTTTGCGGGGCTTGGACCAGCGCTTGGGGTTGTTGTTGTCGGTCTCGTGGTTGTCGTCGCGGTAATGCCCCGTCTCGTTCATGTGCACGGTGAGCTCCACCAGGGTGTCGTAGGCGGCGCTGCAGTCCTTGCAGCGGAACTTGCTGGCCCCCGTGAAGATGGAGCCGTAGAGCTTGCTGCTCTGCCGGTACAGCTGCACGGTGCTGAAGAGGCTGGGCTCCGGCAGCACGCGGCTCTGCGACACCTGCTGCAGGGTCTTGGCCATGGCGCTCTGGTGCCAGTCGAAGCTGCCGCTGCCGCAGCTGCTGCTGCTGCTGCTGCTGCTGCTGCTGCTGCCGTTGTTCTTGTCCGAGGACGGCTGGTGCAGGTTGAGGTTGAGGTTGGACCAGTAGGAGTTGGAGAGGAAGTTGTTGTACACGGCCTTCATCTGCTCCAGGCTGTCCGACACGGTCGTGTCTTCCAGCGGGACCGCGACCTCCTTGGTCTCCTCCTCGTTCTTGACGGAGCCGCTTTCGAAGTCAGCCATGCGGTCGCTGGTCTCACTGATGTGGGACTCGCTGTCCATGTCGTGGCTGGAGAACTCGGCCGCCGGGGAGTTCTGGTAGCTGGCGCAGGTCTTACCGAGCTCCTTCTCCGGGCACATGTACTTGGCCGACGGTTCCCCATCTGCCGTGTGTTCCTCTGGGTCTAGATCTTCGTCGACCAGGGCGGCGGCCTTTAGCTCATCTGAAACGTAGGCTGCCGTGGGCACAGGTGGGCAAGGGAGACGGGTAGGAGAGAAAGAAGGAGAGAAAGAAAAAAAAAAAGCATTAGTGAGTGTCGATCTTACCTAGAGAATAGGTTCCTGGCTCTCAGGAAAACACGGCAAACTAGACGGGCACATTTATTTGTAAAATCGAATAGCTAAAATGTGGTGTTTCTTTGGAGCAAAAAAAAAAAAAGAAAAAGAAATCTGCTCTTCAAACATAATTCGCTACCTTATTCTTCTCAAGGGGCAACAGCTTGAAATTAAAACTAAATTTGAAATTAATGAAGCACATTCTGGAGGTGGCATTCATTTCTAAAGTAATAAATTACTTGTATCAACCTCAGAGACAGCAGTTCCTGTCCATCAATTAATTTGTCTTCTGCTTCTCCTACCCCTAATGCGTCTCTTAACAGACAGATTCACGATTTAAATTAGGCGAGCGTTTTCCACTCATTACATCTTTGAGGCTCAATCTTTAATAAATATAAAGTACAAAAGCATCGATAAAATTTTTACCAAGTAAAAAGAAAGTACATTGATTGCAATAAATTAAAAAAAAAAAAAAAAACAAGGTTTTGTGGCTTTTTTACTTTCGTCCTTCTGGAAAAGCACGTGTCATAAAAGCCTAGAGTAAGTTCCCTACCAGGGACAGGTGCCGGTTTGTTCCAGGCGGGGGGAGGCCCCGAGCTGCTGCCCCCGGCCCTGGCCCCGTCTGTCCCCCCGCACCTGCTCTCAGCAACCCGCACACATCCGTGCAGAATTGTGTCAGAACAAGTTCGGGGAAATTGGTATGCCGCGCTCACTCCCGCTGTATAAATATATACAAGACCTTCCAGTGGACCTTACAAATGTCAAAGTGTTTGCTCTTTAGACTACTTTGTCAATATTTACTCAGCATAAGCTTCGTGGGCATCCAACAGGGATCCTGTCTTTCCGGAAGCGGCGTAACCGGGGATGTAAATCCCAGCACGCGTTTCCGAGCAGGTGGAGGGCGGGGCCCAGCAGCTGCGGGTTCTAGAAGACGCACCATCCGGAGAAGCGGAGCCCGCAGAGTATAGGTGTCGCGGAACCCAGTGATTTCCTTTTCCTGCTCTCGGTTCAGAGACTCCGGTGACTCCGGACTGAAGCCCACCGACCACTGCGTGCAGAGCGGGGTGGTCTCGTCCACAGTTAGGCGTGGCCAGCCCCGTGGGGAGGAGCAGTTTCAAGGCAGAGGAGAAGGGGGGAAAATGGCTTTTCCCTTTTAGCTCCTAAACGCTTCCCTGCGTCAAAACGCCAGCGGGTAAGCGTGGCAGGCGCCGGACAGTGCGCGCTAAGTGCGAGGCCGATTAAATGAAAAACTCTTAGCAAAGGAAAGGACGCTCTGTTTGCAGAATTCGCTCCAATAACTTTCGAGATGTGCCACGGATCAATTTCACATCAGGAAAAAAATGAAAACAGTGAAATGATTCCCGTGAAGCCAAGAGATGCTCCCCTGTACTTTTCCTTCTAGGTCAACTGTGAGTTTTTCCCCAAGCCCCACACTGCAGCTCACGGTCTGAGTGCCAGGTTTCTCCGCTGAGACACGACAGCTATGTCCCAACCCCGACGTCACGTGACCTTGGAAGGCAACCGCGTCCCAGGTACACACATCGGCCGTGGGGACCGGGATCCTTCCGCCCGTGTGCAAACCCTGAAGGAGTCTTACGTGAGAGACACGGAACGTCCCTTACAAACCACCCAAAGAAAGTGCCCCACGCTGGTCAGCTGAGGTGTGACGCGCTACGGAGAACCTTAAGTTTGAGTCACGCACTTAGAGGTGACAGATTAAAATTACAGCAGCTCTTTTCCTACGGCCAAATGAGCAGGAAAATACAGTGCTGGCCGAGGAGGCTGCTTCGCTGGCCACAGTGAAGGACGTGAACGCACGTGCTGGAAACAAAACAGGAAAAGAAAAATAATAAAAGAAGACACCTCCCCTCCCCCACAACCTTCCTCAGCTTGCAGAACGTTCTAGAAATCTGGATGCACAAACTCTCAACAGGGTGGCAGGCCCGGAGGGAGGGTAGCTGGGAGACAGCAGCCAAGCGTTCCAATGTGCACAGTTTCCGCACTGAAAGTCCTGTGGTCCCAGGGACCGACTCGGTCCTGGACAAACTGGAGGAGGGCTGGTCGCCCTGGCTGGGCACACGGCGTGACCACAGCCAGGGCATTGGTGTGGGCCTGAGACCTCTCCGCTAATCCTCGCGGAGAACGGCTGGGGCGGCGCAGGCTGGGTTTGGGTGGAGGCAGCTCACGGTCTGCAGAAACGCACCGGGCGCCCACACGGATGAGGTTTCCGTGGTAAGGGGCTTTATTGTGGACGACCAGAGAAAACCACGTGGCCTGTGTCCCTATAGTGCAGACCCCAGGAAAGGCCTGGCCCTGTTAGATAAGGGTGGACATCGAAGCCCCTTCTCTCCTGGGGGTGCTTCTCTCCTGGGGGTGCTCCTTGGAGCGCGGTCTGCAGCAGGACCCCACAGCCTGGGCCTTGCCCTCCTACGACAGCTCCGTGAAATTAAGTTTGGGAGAGCAATGGCGCCATAGCAGCCAGGCAGCCAGAAGAATCAGGAGTTCACTGCGGCACGAAGGCCACCAGCTGGGGTAGTAAACCCAGCAGCTCTGCCAGCCCACCTCCCACCCAGGAGCAGCGCGGCTCTCTGCAGCTAGGGCCCCGTGCCCACCTCACGCCCACACCCACCGTGAGAGCGTCCACACGGTACCAGGAGCCCGGCAGGCTGTCCGGAGCTCCCGTCCTCATGCACCATCATTGATGTGACCTGCTCCCATCCCACCATGCTTCGTAAATTGCACAGTACATTGTCTGACAACTGAGGAGGACATTAATACTGAAAGAGAAGTAAGGCCAACCTCCCTGGCGGGAACAAAATCCAACTTTGGGAAAAATTAAAATGCTCCGGTGCCAAGAAGACTTGTGTCCTGGGAAGACGCGGCCTCCCCATACATCCTGCCCCCGGCCTCGCCGTGGTTTCCGAGGGTCTCCACAAGCGCACGGCCGTGGCGGGAAGCGCACGACCTATTAAATAAGCCGTTTTCTTTCCAGCTCCAAAGGTGAGAGGTGTTTCCTTAGGTTGAGCCCAAGATTTCTGTCCGCTGTTTCTTCCCTCCATGTTGGAACGGAGGAGGGCAGGGCAGCAACCCTCCACCACCGAGTGTGACAGTTACACTCCACGGAGAACGTCACATGCTCTCGAGGACCGAACGTCGAACATTTTTCTAGAAAGTGGAAACGGGCCCAGTGAGAAGACAGGGAATTAAAGGACAAAAACTCTCATTCATGCCACAAATGCACGCTGAGCACCACGCCAGCCAGGTGAGCTGCTGCCCTCTGAGCAGCGGGTCGTGTTCTTTCTCCGGGCCTCAGTTTCTCTATCTGAGCAATGCAGGCACCGCAGTTATGATCTGTAAGGTGCTTCCTCTTCTACATTTCCTCACTTTATGGCCTTTCCGAGAAAAACGTAAAGAATTGAGATGTGAGCTCGTTCACTCTGGTTCATTCTCTGCAAGCACAACCTCCTCGCAGACACTCGGCAGTGAAGCCGTTCCCTAGTCCTTTCCGCTCTGGACTGGCCCTAACTTGCAAAGTCCCTCGCTGGACAGAAGGAAGGACTTCTCGACACTGGGACGGTGAACACACTGGGTCAGGCAAAGTGGGGAGGGGAGCGTGGGGGTCTCCGGTCACTTTCTGCATGATGCTGGTCTTCGGTGGCCCAACGGCAGGCACTGCCACCGATTGCACCTGGCAATGAATCATACGTGGCTTTGGGACACCCCCCCTGCTGTCTTAAAGAGTTATTTGAGTCCCCTATGCTATTCAACTTTCTGAAAATTCCTGCCTGAATTCCCTAAGGGCGAAGACCTTACGTCCTCATCTCGCACACAGTAGGCCAGCAACTGGGCACCGGCTGTCTCATTTGGAGAGAAGTTAGCTGGAGGTCACCTCCAGCAGCATGGTGGTGCTAACAGCTGTAGCAACAGGGTCCGCCCCTGCGCTCTGTCCCTCCCACCCTGGCTGGTTCCGGCCGCCAGCATCTCACCCACCGCCCCCCACCCAATTCTGACTCCAGCTCCTTCAATCTCGTCCCCACGCAGAAGCCATCAGGATTGTCACAGAACAGCGGCTGGCCACGTCACTCCCCACATAACACCCTCAGAGACTTCCCCTGGGACTCACAAGATCCTCGAAGCCGCTCTGAAGTCCTCCACCATCTGGCCAGCACCCTCCCCGGCCCCCTCAGCTCCGAGAACGCGCCGCGATCTCCCACTCCCACCGTCCACTGCTGCCCGCTCTGCCACGAGCCCCAGGGCAGATGCCACGAGGCGGAGGACGAGGCAACCTGCCCCTCCCACTCCACGGGGGAAAGGTCACTTCTCGGGGGCCCAGCTCTTGCTCCCGTGACACCCTCTTCCTTCTCATTATGAAGCACTTGGCTGATGTCACTTGTCCCGTTACGAAGCTTGCCAGATGTTCTGACAAACCGTCAGGTTTGTGTGGCAAGGACCAGCCCCACCGCCACGCCCCACGCCCCAGATACCTGCTGCGGCCCTACCGTCCAGCCCCAAGTGGCCCCACCGTCCAGCCCCAAGTGGCCCCTCGACACACATCCGTGGGATGAATGGATGAATGGAGGACCCTCATGGACGGCTTCTTCCAACCTCCTAAACAGTCGCCAAAACATCTCAGATTGATCCAGGCTCCGGCCAGTCCCAGAGCAAAGCAGATGTGCAGGGTGTGATCCGAAGTGCTTCCGGGTCAGTTCTGAATGCGACTGGCATTTGCAGCGTCGCTGCTTCGTGACAAAGGGCCTCTGGCGTGGACATCGCGACGGAGCCGGCCACGGAGGGAGAGGGGAGCAAACGCCCCTGCTGGTGGTTTCCTTGCACCGGAGCCACCCCTGGCTGTACCCACACCCCAATATCCTCTTCCAGATGCATCATCACCCTCTTTTCC